AAGATAGGCGGAGCTGAGGGGGAGCCTCGGCGCGTCTCCTTGACCAACTAACCTAAATACTAAACACACTACTAACTGTAAACCTACACTAAAATACACTATGCTAACAATACAATTCGACAAATTACTAGCTATTCTCTCTGCTATACTACTCTCTCTGCTCTGATCCAACCTACTCGCTATCAGTTTGGTAACTGCGGACAGAATGGTTTTATAGAAAGGGGAGGAGTAAAGGGAGGAGGGCAGGCTTTAGCGTGGACGGTTAGTGACATCATTCGCCCCGAAAAAGAGTCATTCACCCCCAATGTAATGTAATGTAAATTCAAATGTAGTAACTGGGTTTCATGCTGTAGAGGGCACTCCATACCACATTTTTAAAATAAAATGTAGATTTTCAACAGTTTGCACTAAACTGTCAAGATTTTGAGCAGGATCAGTCAGTAACACTACTTTACAACCAGAAACAATGATTATCAGCTGAAAAAATGGTTTTAGGGTTTAGTTACTCTTTAAGTAAAAATCTGTGTGATGTATTAGCAGCTCTTTATGATGTTTCCTTTCAGTTAAATATTCAAACCCAACACAACATGCTGTTTTATGGTTGTATTATATCACCAGATGGAAATATTCTATGCTGCATCATTCAACACACATTCCCATCCAAATTCAGCCTGACATGTTTTGTATCTTTGGAAACTTAAGGATCTCCACTAAAACTTTAAATAAAGTTCTGTGGTTGTGAACAACATGCGGGCATAATGATGGACCTGGTGGGGTTGAAGAGGTTCATTTAAACCTTCCTTGGACTTTTCCAGCTGTTTTGAATGTATTTTGGATGTGTTTTTTTTTTTTCAGCCCCGGAGGCGACTTTCAGAACAAAGTGCCTCAGTGCTGCTGCCGGCGTTACAACAGGTTCATGACTCACAAGTTGTGAGTTATTTAAAGAAGCCACCAGTGCAGACAAGTTAATTTCCATAATACAGACTGCAACGCCTTTATAAGGCAACTCTGCGAGCGCTGACCTCACACAGGCATGAGCCAGAGTTTTTGACAAGTCACACACACACACACACACACACACACACACACACACACACACACACAATTTCCTCTGCAGTGATGATGTCATAACAGCAGAGGGAGAATCCCAGACGTGTGATTAAAGCAGGAAGGTTTGGTGTGTAACTCTGCGTCTTCTACGCTTCCTCTACAGTCAGATCTGACTCTGTTCTCTGAGTTCTCCACATTAATGGACCACATGTTAGAGGGTGAGGGACTGAGACACAACAAAATTTAATGACAGATGAGGAGAGAGGATGATTTACAAACAAAATCAGCAACTACATGTATAACTATAATGGTGTCAAAAAAAACCCTTTAAAACCTCATTTAAACTCATTAAATCTTCCTTAAAATCCTACAGAGAACAATTTGATTCTCCTTTTAAAAACTGAACCCCCTAAAATGTGAGAAACAGTATTAGACCTATAAGTTCCCCTTAATATTTCATGTAGAACGAATTCCCTTTGAAACCTCCAAGAACTGCCTCCAAACATTAGCAATCTTAGAATGTTCTTAGAACCAACTGAACTACAATGATATATGGAACCACTTGTTTGCCTTCAAAGCCCCCAGATTCCCTCAAAACATTAGAAACTCAGTAAGTTTTCTTTAAATATACAGAACTACCTACATTCCCCTTTAGAAGCCCCTAGAACCCCCAAAACATAACCCCAAATTAACCTCTTCAGAAGCACCCCTTTAGAATGTGTCAAAATCCTTTGCAAGTTCCACACAACCCCTTAAAATTCCCCTCTGAATCCTTTAAGTATCTCATAAGATCTTGTTTGTCTTTTACAGTAGAATTTCATAAGGACATCCATACGAACCCCTGTAGAACCCTTTAGACCCTTTGGAAGGCTTGAGAACCTTAAACTCACCTTTTCAGGACCCCTTCAATCCCATTTAATCCCGTCATTTCTAAATTTAGAAAACCATTTAGATTTCAGATTACTAGGGCTGTAAGAACCCCTCAGAGCCTTGTCAGATTTATTAGAGACCTTATTAGAACCTCCCCAAGAATCCATGCAAAACCCCTCAAACCTTCGGTAGACAGTAAAATAGACCACGTTTGGAATTTTATTGAAGCTCTGAATCATTTTGGAACCCCCTAACTAATGGAAACATTACTATAACCCCTTTAAAACATCTTATAATCCACATTAATGACCTCCCAAACCCCTATAGATTACCTTAATCCCCTCTTTGTTACTTAATCCTTCCCTGAAAATTCTTAAGAATTAAATTAAGTGTAGCAATGTTGCGGTTGCGGTTCTTCAAATTTTGCTGAGCTGAGGAGCATTTCTCAATAAAACCGCAATGACAAACTGTGTCTGTGGTGCACTGTGCAGTGTAGCCTGGAGGAAAGAGTGGGCTGATGGGAAGTGAAGTAAGATGGTAATGCATTTCTAGAGTTTGCAGGAGTGGGAGAACAGTTGGGGTATTTTCAGGAAGATGATGGGATGACTATTACAATAACTAAAGCCCATTTTGCACAGAGATGGCACTATTGAGCTGCAATGAAGACCTGTCTTTTTACACAGAACCAAAAAACAGCAGCATTATGCTGCCCCAATGTGTGGCAGGTGTGACATGTAACACAACAGCATTGGCCTCTAGTGTGTCATATAGCCTTACATACATGTCGGCAGCACTTTTTAGACAATAACAATGGCAACAACAATCATTTACCGTCTCTTTTATATGGTGGCTGATCTGCTCAGAAGGTAAGGAGCTCCCAGACCTCACCGATTTTCCAATTTGCAGACATTTTTGGCTGCTTTTCTTTTACTTTGACTTAGCTGCTAACTGCTGACAGTTTCCTTTTTAGTCTCTGGAGATGGGACGCACACACAACTTGTCGTCAAAACATCCTGCTGGCTTGCACTTCTTACACAGACGTCGATTTAGCACTTTAACTACCTCCGTTGCTGGCCTAAAGGCAAGACAACTCTGTCCCCCATCCTGCGAAAGTCCTGCCTTAAGCAGGCAGTGTGAAAAAGGCTAAAGATGATCACACGCAGAAGATTTTGTTCAGATGTAAAAACCATCTGCAGGTGAGCTAAGCAGACAATGAAGAAAGAAAGTAGTAATGAAAGAACAGACATGTAAATTAACCAGACACTGGATAAGTTCATGGACTTGATTCTTCCAGTGGGCCGTGACATGTAGCCCATGAACATCCAGGGCTTTTGGGAAATGGTGTTTGTTAAAGGTCTCTACAGTAAATAGCAAAAATACTAAATAAACAACTGGAGAGATCACAGATCTATCTTGCAATGTTAACAACAGTGAAAAATGTAACCCTCCTGTGATTAAGAGCCACTTCAAAGTTTGAAGGGTTCTTCCCTCTGGCCATGCTTCACCCTTCCACCAAGTTTCATAAAAATGAGGCAGGCAATTTTTCCGCTGACAGACAAACCAAACTGAAAACGTAACCTCCTTGGTGCATGGATGGATTACTGAACAGGCCTACTGGGCACAGGCCAAGGGGCCCACATCCTTCAACTGCAAAAAGACAAATGTCAAATTAACACTTACTGACCAGGAGAAGACTCAAAATGACCATAAAGAGACACAAAACCACAAAAGGATGCATAACAACTAAAATGAGATACAAAACCACCACAAAGTCTATGTCTTGCTCCTTTGAAGGAGAAGTGGTGGGGCCCATTGTCTCATGATCCGCCTGTGCCCTTGGTGGAGGTAACATTATTGTTAGTGTTTTTCAAAAAAAACTTCCAAATACTACAGCTGAGACAAGCTCTGCTTCCAGGCTGGAGTTTTGGTTATTATTATTGTTAGAAATGTCAGTGGGATTCTGAATGAGGTTTTCTCACTTCTGGAACTTGTGACACCTTGAGTGTAGAATATTCAGTCACAGAGATAAAACAGCACTAAAACAAAGGAGAAAAAACAAGAGAGAAGAATCTGAATTGGCAACCTGCACTGGCGCTTCGGCTGCCCCAACGCGACAAGGCGAGACCGCACAGTCATGAGCCATGATGTCATGTTGACTGGAGCCGAACAGCAACCAGACTAAACAAATCTGTCAGACAGACAGACTGACTGACTGATAGACTGTCAGACAGATGGAGAGAAGAGTCACAGGCAAAGTCCAAGTCATCCAAGAGTTTTCCCCTCAACACGTAACTCATTCACAGTCGAGGGAGGGAGGGAGGGATAAAGGAATCCCAGCTTTGCTCCATTAACAGCCGAACAGAGGGAGGGAGGGGAGAAATAAAGAAAGAAAGAGAGGGAGGGAGGGAGGAGGGAGGGAGGGAGAGAGAAGGTAAAAGTTGGAAGTGCTATGAGTCACGGAGCGAGATGGGAGGAGACTGTAGTGGAGGAGAGAGAGAGAGGGATGGAGGGAGGAGGGAGGGAGGGAGGTATAATTATGGTAGGAGGCAGCCAGGGCGAGAGAGAGGAAAGAAAGAAGAGAGCGAGGAGAGAGAGAGAGTCCAGCCCACTCCGGTAAAACCATTCAACTGGTGAGCGAGGGAACGCATTCAACACAGACAGAGAGAGAGAGAGGAAAAGAGGTAAAAAGAGAGAGAGAGAGGAACTCCCTTCATCTGGGATAACTTAGTCAAACTGCCTCTCGAACACACACGCTCTGAACACACACTCTGCAGCGACTTCACCCCGGGAACAAGGATCCTCCTGCACTCCAGAGTTTTCCCTTTTCATCATCCATTCATCACATCTGAGAGTTTCTTCTTCTTCTTCTTCTTCTTCTTGTTTTGTTTCTTTTTCTTTCTTTCTTGTGACGCCTCCACATTTTCCAGCCATCTGTCCCTGACAAAAAAGATAAGGATTACTCATTTTCTCTCTCTCTGCATTTTTTTCTTTTTTTTTGTCCTCCTCTCTCTCGTGTCTTTGCAGCTTTTTTTCCCTCCGTTTTCGCAGGTGGACTGTGAGCTGAGCTGAACTTTGCAGCTTCCAAACTTCTGAGGAGAGAACGAGAGAGGAGAAAGACAAAGACAATAAGACGGAGAGGAGGCAGAGGAAGGAGGGAAGGTGAATCTTAAACAGAAGAAGACTTTTCTTTCATCAACCAGGACTGAATTTTTTTGGTTAGACACTTTCAGACAAAACTCGACTTTCTTCATTTTTTCTGACTCCGCCTGAGCATCCACATCCGGCAGCATCACCAAATCCAGCCTGGCAGCCAGTCAGGTGACTCCTGCCATCATGTCTGTCTTACCTCTGCTCAGCTGGACCGTCCTGCTGCTGGTCCAGAACTGCGGCTCGTTCTTGGACCCGGCATCCAAACTTCAGCCTCTGCCACTCTCACTGACCATCCATCCTCACCACCAGCCGCTGCCGGATGCTGCCTCCAGCTCCCACTGCCCCTCCTGCGCCCTGGCCAGGATGAGGAGAAATGAAGGGGGCACGTCGGATGACATGGTGGCACATGACCAAGAAGACGAGGCGGCCCAGCAGGATGTGGTGGAAGCGGTGAAGAGGCACATCCTCAACATGCTGCACCTCCAAGCCCGGCCGAACATCACGCGGCCTGTGCCGCGCGCCGCGCTCCTCAACGCCCTGCGCAAGCTCCACGTGGGGCGAGTGGCAGAGGACGGCAGTGTGCAGATCGAGGGGGAGGAGGAGGCGCGAGGGCGGGGAGGTCGAGGAGGAGGGGGAGGAGCGGCCGCGGCAGCAGTTCGGACAGGAGACAGCGCAGACGTGCAGGAGACGACGGAGATCATCACCTTTGCCGAGGCTGGTGAGTACAAATGACTCGTGTGTGCGAGCATCGAGGTCTGCATCAGTGTATATAGAATGACACGCAGAGAGAGACAAAATGTGTGTGTGTGTGTGTGTGTGTGTGTGTGTGTGTATGGACGGTGGCCAAGATGAGGGGTGTGTAGTTACACTTCAGTTGTGCGTGTGTGTGTGTGTGTGTGTGCGTGTGTGTGTATGAACAAATGGCAGCAGCTCGACAGTCAGTGTGTAAATCTGCATTTTTATTTTGTGTCATGGAATGTGTTACGTATGTGTGTGTGTGTGTGTGTGAGCAAATATTTGCGTGTGTTACAGTTTTGTGTATGTGTGTGTAAAAGACAAAAAAGCAGCTGTGTTGGAAATGACCACTCTGTGTGTGTGTGTCCACCACCTGCTTAATTCCACCTGCATACTCACTCAGCCGAACCCGTCAGATATGCACTCACACACACACACACACACACACACACACACACACACACACACACACGCACTAACCTCTGTAATCGCCTCCTGCTGTTTTCAAAGAATACCTCATTATCTACTTAAAGTCAGAGTAGATTCATGTGTCACTGTGTGTGTGTGTGTATGTGTGTGTGTGTGTGTGTGTGTGTTTTAAAGCAGTAAGAATGCTGGAACTCTTTTCTGACAGACGGTAGCGACAAAGAGCGAGTAGGAGTCCAAAACGAGAGAGAGAGAGAGAGAGAGAGAGGAAGGGAGGGAGAAGAAAGAAGTAGTTGTGTGATAGGGCTGGACGGTATGGCAAAGGTTTTATAAGGTCAAAAATTTTCCTATCAGTCGATATTGATAAATATCATAATAAATGTCAAGTCATTATTTCTTTCACGTTTAAAGGCTGAAGAAACCACACGGTTAATTGTAGTTTATTATCTAACATCAGAAGATGACAAACACGTGCTAAACAGTTTATTTCACTATAATCCAAATAATGTCAACTAATAAATAAACAGACAAAAATATCTTAAGACTCTGACGTTGTGAGGTAACAGAGAGTCATTAAGTGCCGGTGAAAAATTATCTGACGTAATTGTGGCAGAGTTAGCCTTATGTATGAAAGGTTTATTTACATTATCTTTAGTTGTGTTATATCATTTCATTCTAATGAAATAGCCCAAACTCAGTCATACTAACTTGCTAACTTACCATTAGCAGTAGATACGTCAATCTCTCAGCTACTGCAGCTAACGTTATGTCATTTCATTGTTAATGAAATAGACGCAAGCCTGTCAGGCTAACTTGCAAACCTACCATTAGCATCAGATGAGTTGACTTTACAGCTACCGTAGCTAATGTTATGTCATATCATTGTAATAATATAGCAACAGGTCAGTCACGCTAACTTGCTAACTTACCATTGGCATTAGATAAGTTGACATCACAGCTACTGTAGCTAACATTATGTCATATAGTTCAAATAAAATAGCTGCAAGTCAGCCATGCTGACTTACTAACTTACCATAGCATTAGATGAGTCCACTATACAGCTGCGTTAACATTATGACACATAATTCTAATGAAACAGCTAAAAGTCAGTCACTCTGACTTGCTAAATTACCATTAGCACTGGATGAGACAACTTTACAGCTACTGTAGCTAACGTTATGTCCTTTCATGCTACTGAAATAGCCACGAGTCAGTCACGCTAACTTGCTAACCTACAATAAGCACTGGATTTGCCAACTATACAGCCGCTGTAACTGATGTTATATGGCAAATTCAGTCATTTGGTAAAGCTGCGCTATTTTCAGTGATCGTACTAAAGATAACTTTTTGAGCATTGCCATATGCATTACTGGCATCTCTCCCCCCCCCCCCCCCCACACACACACACACACACACACGTAAATTCACCTGTATGAGCAAAGTACTCCAGTGGAAAAGCCCCCCACCCCCACCCCTACAGTGGAAAAGGCAACACAGTTTTTCAGTGCAGCAAAAGCCTTGTCCTGGTGCTGACTGCTGATGGTTGTGAAATCCCCGTGCAGCACTTTCCACGAGCTCACCTGTCAGTCAGGCAGTGTGGGCGGGACTGTGACGTCTCCTTCTGGATTTTCTGTTCATGCAGTTTGAGTTTCTGTAGGCGAGAGTCTGGAACAGCAGATGGAAAAGATTTTTATGAACTGGATGTGTGCAGACAGGCCGAGAGGAGCAGCTTTCTTTAAAGCAAACACAGAATGTATTGCTGCTTAAAGAGTTCCTCTCTGTGGATAAACCTGGCATTAGAAGCTATTAGATCTCCTCTGTTTGATGTAAAATCAGCTATTTCTGCTGCTTTTTCTTTGTTAGATACTACTCAGGATACTGTTCTTACCTGTATTTAAATGATCCTCTCTGCTTACAGGCACTTACAAACCAATGAGAACATCATTAGAACCCTTGTAAAACACTTTATGTACGTCAGTGAAGTCTGTTTGATACATTTGAACTGTTTCAGTCCCGTTACACAAAAGATTTTTATTAAAATCAAGAACTTAGAGACACACACCTGCAAACATCACTCAGAGGTCCATTTAAATTTTGGACAGATTCTCTACAGAACCCATTAGAAACTTTTTTACCCAAAGTTTTGCCTCTCGTACTGCTCCATCTGTCTGATTGATTGACTTTGTCAGAGGCTGTATGCCTGCAGGCTGCCCAGGACTGTTATGAGTTTTGTTCAGATTTACTGACTTTTGACACCATTTTTGAAGAGAATCAGTTTCAGTGACAGTAAACGTCACCTTAGTGGAGATAACAAAAAGAAGATGTACTTCAAGTTCAAGACAATCAAACCAGCCAGGTGACCAATCACTCAGCTGTTATAACATATTGATTATTTAGGAATACTTCACCCCTAAATAATCATTTGTATTCCAGTTACTTACCCAGTGTTACTTTGGATTCATGAGGAAAACTTTGTTTTTCTTGCAGGCATCCACAGTGAAGGGAGAATTCAATTCAACACAACTTGCTTAGTGTAATCCAAGTCTTATTTATTCATATATTTTATTTATTTGTCGTATGCTCAGTACTTAACACAAACATGCATTTTCACACACAGAAAAAAAAAAACTAAAACTAAACTGAAAGTGAAACTAATCTACGCTCTCTTCAAATCCAGACTCCATTGACACATACAGTAATTTTACCTGGCTGAACATGGGAGCTGCTGGTCTTCCACTGCCTCCATCAGTTAGTTTGTTTGTCTTATTGTGTGACTTTGGTGAATCAGAACAAACCCCTTGAAACAATTAAGTCACACAGTAACACAAATCAAGACAGCAGTAGAGCAGCAGCTCCTGTGTTTAGTGATGTAAAAGTACTGTTTTTCATCAGTGGAGTCTGGCTTTTAAGTGAGTATAGATTGTCACTTTGCATTCAGTTCCCTGTGGACTGTCTATTTGTGAAGCACTGATCATCTGACTGGATAAATGAGACTTGGATTATACTACACAAGTTGTGTAAGAGTTTGTAAACAGATGATTTGATCTAATTTTGCTTTTGTTAAACATGGACCCTTTTTTACTTAAAGTCAATAAGAATTTTCTCTTTTTTTTTCCCGGATTCTCCATTTACCTTGGAGGCATGTGAGAAAAACAAAAATTTCGTCATGAATTCAATGTAACATGAGGTGAGTAACTGATGTACAAATGGTCCTTTTGGGGGTAATTACTTCAAGCTTTGGTTTAAGAACTTACTTAGACACAGAGAAAGATCATGGTATGGGTTAAGATGTGAAATGAAATCAGCATTGACTGTTGGTAAGAAATGGGAAGTGTTTGATGTTTTGTTGACATATTCATCTACCTTTGTCGTTGTGGTTATTTTTTTAGCTGACTGAATCCTTTTAATGTGCTGTAAAAATTCTAAAAAGTCTGAGCTGAAAGAGGTTAAAAAGCCTGCGTCGAGCGTTTCAAAAAAGACTTTGCCACTTCTCATAGAAACTGATAAAACCTTGATGTTGTGTTTCTAAGATGTAACGCGGCCCGCCATGAGAATATTTTGCACCCAGCCAGCGATCCTGTGCTTTGTTGGGAATAACTGATGCATTCAGGGACCTCGGTAATTATTTTGGGCAACAGAAATGGTGAGTAAGGGAGTGGAGGGACGACTGGATTCTTGGCGGATACCGAGTGTCAACCTCCGTTTAGCTCCGACACAATATCTATCTGTCCACCGTTTTCTTTCCATGAGCCTATTCTATTTAAATTCTTCTCCTCCGACCCTGTTTATCTTCCCCCCATAGCTCCCCAACACACAGAGGACAATTAGGCTAATTGAACTTAATTGAACACATCATTAGCGACATTCCACAATCCACTTTCATCTTGCCCTCCCTCTCTGCTGCTCTCTCTAACCTCAGTCTACCCTTCCCTGTTCTGGCAGACTGAATAAACCGGTCATTGTTGGATCTATTCTGGTGGCTGGGTCCGTCTGGGGATTCAAACTAGCAACCCTGCGAAGAGCTTTGGGCCGGTTCACTGGCCTCCGACAACTGAGAGGAAACAGCGGCTCTCAGCAGCGGATAGGAAGACAAAGACGTCTGGCTGATGTGAAAATAAACCATAATTAGCGTGTTTCCTTTCTCTGTTTTCTTTTCTCATGCTTACATTTTTCTTTTCACTCTGCTTCCTTTTGATTCCCTCTTCTCTTGTCTTTTTTCTTGGCCTTAACTCCTGTTTTCTCTCCATCTCCAAGTTTTCTCTGCTGCTTTTCAACTTTTTCTGTCCTCTTCACTCCTCTACCTTTTCCCTCCATGTCTGTCACTTTTTTTTATTGTGACGTGGCTTCACCGTGTTTATAGCGTGTTTATGGTTGTGTCCGTGCAGTCGTAACTGGTTTGAATTCCTGGTGACTCGCTGTAGTCGACATCGTCCCACCACATCGTTTGGCTCTCCTTTGATGTGTGACCAGCCGCCAAAGATGCTCTATGTCTGAGGAGATGAATCACTCAATAGTAAACAACTAGAGATTGTGTCCAGACCTGCCGAATGCAAACAC